GAAGCAATGAGGAATGGGGGCTCCATAGGCTTAGGTTTAAGTCATGAAGAAATAATACTAATGGGCTCTAGCCTTCCCATAGACCAGGGGCAGTCAAGATTTTAAAATACTTCCCCCTCCTCTGCCTGGGGATTTGTCCACCACCCCTCCTCCCCCCTCTTGCCTCAAGACAATGCCTTTAGCCTTTGGAACTCCATCCATTATAAACTGCTCGGAATATTAACACAGCCAGAGTCCTGCTTACTTTTAAAAGAACCCCCCCGCCCCCCAGCATTTCAAATTGCAGTCACCCTGGAGAGGGAAGGTCCCCAGTGAGTAAATGTCACCAAGCTCTTTTATAAGGGAAGATGAAAGTTAGGCTTGTTCATGAAACTCACAGTCCTTCAACCTATGGGATAAGTCAGAGGAATCCCTAAGTTTGAAACACAGGAGGAGGAGGGAGAAGAAGAAAAGGCCCGGCACAACCAACATCCTTTATTGCTATAGTAACTTTCACTTCAATGAATCCCTCTGCTAGGCTTCCATCTGTGGGCCTCACTTACAAAATAACCATAGGCTATTTTCAAGAACCTCCTTCCGGCCTTCCGCATCTAACAGATCTTCAAGGCTCTAGCAGGTGCAGAAAACTGGGCCAGGTGCATTGTCGGTCAAACAAAACCCTACTGCTCTCCCCGGAATTCCTGTCCACCCTCAAAGAGAGGATGCTGAAAAGGCTTTGCACCACAGAGACACCTCTGTAGAATGGGGGAAGGCCCTTCTATTGTGAGCATGGTGTCTGAGGGAGAGAAAGGTCAGCCAGAGGCCATCCCCATGTGGTCAGAGAGGGCTAGGCAGGGAACCCAGAGAAAGTAATTAGCCATGGAGGGCAGGCAAGCTCGGCTAAGACAGCCACCAGGAACCAGCCCCCTGGAATGCCAGGACAGGACGCTGAGATCTGGGCCAATGTGGAATTGTCTTCATCTCTCTGGAGATGTGCTCAGGAATCAACGCCATTGATGCACGCAAACTGTCCAAAGTGAGCTCTTGGAAACAAACGTATTTGTGGAAAGGGATGAGCACACTTTTTGCAAAGTGGCCCCTTGCAGGAATATTTCTAACATATCTAAAAAGCAACCGTGGCACTCACTGTTATGCCAATACAGTTATTTTACACTACACCCCACGGGCCTCTGGGCACTTCACATGTTTGCAGTATTCGCAGATCAGTGTTTATGGCCATGACCGCTACACAGTGGGCAGTATACCTTTCCCCTATGATAACCCATTTTATTTGCCAGAGACCTTACTCAAAAAAAGATGAGAGAGCACTGGCAACAGCAAAGTCTTCCGCCATGGGGGGGCGGGAGGGCAGGGGCGCAACAAGGCTAGGCTTCCTACACTTGGTGCAGAATAAAAGGCTCAAGTTCCCTAAAAGTTTGGAGAGCGCTCCCACCTTCCAGGTTTTTCCTCCCACATTTAAAATGCTCCTTTACTTGGAGCAACCCTGGGGCTCCTCCCCACACATCAGATGTCATAGCTCTGGTTTAAACACAACTCCAAACCCACTGCCATCGGGGCCATTCTGACTCTTACTGACTCAATCGGACAGGGTAGAACTGCCCTGTGGGTTTCTCAGACTTTTTAACTCTTGATGGGAGAAGAAAGCCCCGTCTTCCTCCCTTTGAGCAACTGGTGGTTTCGAACTGCTAACCAACTCAGGACAACCCAGAGGACAATCCATTTCTTCACAAACTAAATCTCAGCTTGGATTTGGAAACAATTTGGTCAGCTGCACTTTAAATCTAATTTGCATTAGCAGGATGGGAAGCATTTTTCAAATCCTAAATTCCCAACCCCCTGCACACCTGGGCCTTCCAGCACAGCTGTACAATTTGAAAGACAAAGGCTCTCTTTGCTTCACAACTACAAGGACAACCAGGGTTTGTATTTATTTTCTAATGTAATCAGAAGCCAAGGTTAGAGTTAAGCCGCCCATTTGGTACTGCAACACCTTAGACAAGAAATCCAAATCAATAGCCTCATCTTAATGTGTCTCAGGACCTAGGATAGCCACATTTGCTGTCCTTGGTGAACTAAGTGCATGCCATCTCCCCTCCAAACTGACGGCAAAACTGCCCTGCCTTCCTTACCCACCACAACCCCACACAACTATCCACAAATGTGGCGTCTCGTGTAAATTGTATTTAACACTTTTCACACGGCTTGAAACCCATGCTCTCCAAAATAATTTCAAAAAAAGCAAACATGTGAGTTCTAAGAAACTGAACTTCTAAAGTTCTGGGAAGCTGGAATAAGGCTTGGCAATGCTTGGTGCTATTTATGAATGTGCTGGTTGGACCATGCCAACCTCACCTACGTCATGGGAGGGAGTCTCAGCTTCAGCTCCAAGGGCTCCAACTGCAAGCTATCGTGCTGCATAAATTATCCTCCAGCCACACGGATTAACATGATCTTCCCATCTATCTGCTCCATTCCATGTAGTTCCATCCCTCTTATACAATGTTGCTTTCCTTACACTGGGCCCAGGAGCAACTCCAACATTAGATACACTGTTTACAAAAGTAAAAAAAAAAAAAAAGTCCCATAAAGCCACAGGTCCCCCTGCTATCTCAAACCCACAGCTTGGAATTGTTTGAAGGCGCTGCAGTAAATCTAGTTCATGGGGTTGTAAACGAACTCAAAGCATTTCCTGGACACAATGGACTCAGAGGATATAAGCTTAATGAAATAGGAAGATGTTCTATTACATTATGGACAGAGACTTTCTCCCTTCAAGCCTTATGGAATTATAACCAGGAAAACAAGCTGTATAAACATCCTTTATGTGAAATTCAGAATACAACAGATTAATCTGAGAATCTGACGTGACAGGGGAGAGAAGAATGCTTGATTATTCTCTAATCAGACATAAATAAAATAGCTTCACAAACTTCTTTCATGGGGTACACTACACTTATGCTGCCACATAGGAAGAGGTTTCAAAAAGTTCAGGGGAAAATGGAATTGAAAGATAATGGAATTTTTTCTGCAGAACTTTCTGAAGCCCCATGGTACTAATAAACAGAGGGTAAATCTCATAATCTGTTATCTCAATCAAATCCACCGAAGCTTCTCGCACCCAGAGGGGCACTGATCACGGACTGTGAGAGGAGGCGTAAAGACTGCAGTCTTAAAGGTATTCATGACCATGACCGGTGAAATGTCACTCCTAAGCAACTAAAGTCCAAAAACGGCCAGTGTATTTTGCTCCAAAAATTAAAGGGCAAGGCAGAGCGGATCAAGTGACAATATGAAAGTGCAAATACGAGGTCACCCTGTCCCCTCCCGGCAGTCAGGGCTTCTGTCCTGCGTGCCTTCCCCACAATGCGATTGACACATGGGATCAGCAGTCACTCTTCCAACAGGTGAACACTTGAGAAGTTATTCTCATTCTGCCCATGTGATTTTACTGTTTGGAAAAGAAAAAGAAAAAAACCACCACCCTACATCAAGCGCTTGTAAAGAACGACCCACAATCTCCCAGACTACCTCAATTAAATAGAAAACAACCGAATGCCAATGCTGAAGGGAGGCATGGTGCCTAGCAGATTCTGACTTGGGCTGCTAACCGAAAGATCAGCAGTTCGAACCCACCAGCCAATGTTGCCGGTGTGCTCTCACAAAGATTTATGACCTCGGAAACCCCTCAAAGGGTGACTGTGAGTGGGAATCCACCGGAGCTGAGCCAGAGGACCTTTGCATTAGAAAGGAAAAAGGTTTCTTCTCTTGGTAGCCGGACACCAAGCCCAAGTTTTCTTAGATCAAGCCACAGGTGTTGGTTAACATGTGTCACCAGCTGTTTCTTATTGAAATGGTGAGCACTGTGCCTGAGCTCACTGTGGGGCCTCTTCTAGGCTCTAGGAAAGATAGCCAATTATTCAACTGAAAAGCCACGTCTTTTCTGGAAGGTACTCACAGTTACTTAACAGAGATGCTAATTACTGATAACTAGCCAGGATTTGACTCATGGCTCAGATTTTGAGAAGTAAAAGAAGGTTATTATGTTCTACCATGTTTAGTCTGGTTTGGTTTTTTTTCTCTTGCTAAATCTCCTGTAAGCAGTGCTCCAGTCCTGGAGAGAGACTTAACGTCAACAACGTTCACCGTGCACCAAGGGCCAGGTAAAGACTAAACTGTGACTGTAGAACCCTCTTCAGGTGAAACTAACTTGGCTTAAAGCAATCAATCTCTGGCACTCTAATAGCACTACTCCAAAACTCATTTGCACCATTTATAGCGAGGGAACTGTAGAGGGTGGGCCGCGCCCCACCCAACTGTATCCAGCCCAATGGGGCCCAAGGGAGCCGACAGTTAGGGTCTGGTACACCGTTCCCTAAATGCCCACCAGGCGGAAAGGGCAAACTCCCATCAGTCACAGAGAACTCTCAAAACCCCCAAAACGCACATTGTTCCCAGCAAAGCCGCTGTCGTCTGCCTCGGGCAGAGCCAAGTCAGTGCACCCGGGTCACAGAGGACTGACTACACATACACTCTTCCGAAAAGACGGGAGCCAAGAGTCACCTCCATGCATTACCCACTGGACGAGCAAGGATCTCAGCGCCGAAGAGTTGGATTTCAAACGAAGGGGAAGGAAGCTTCACAGATGCGCAAGCCCTCCCACGCATCTGCACAGACTTCCTCGCCCTCACCCTTTTACTTTCACACACTCACACCTCGACATTCTCCTTCGCCTCTGGGGACCCACTGCCCAGCTTCCAGATCACCCCAAACCCCACGCTCGTGGATCTCCGGACCCCCACGACTCTCACCTCCGGACACCCCCCCCCACCGCCAGGCCCGCTCCTCTAGACGCCTACGCACGACTTCGCCTCTCGCGCCCCCACGCAAACCGTCTCCCAACCAGCCAGCATCTAACCTAGCACCCCAGCCGCACCCCCTTCCGGGCTACGAAGTCCCGCCGCGGTCCCCGGGGTGCGGAGGGCGGAAAGGGAGGCACTCACAGGCTCAGCGTCCAGGCGGGCAGGTCTCGGGGAAGCGCCGTCAGCCCGC